TTTTTGGTATAACTCAAATTTGAACTGAAAGTGATTCAATTAATGGAATAAAATGAGTGAAAAAATGATATTCATGTTCTTGAGTGCAGAGTGAGGCCTTATACGGGAAATGAAACATCTTATTTACGAAACACGACCATGAACGTGTAGCCGAATTATTTTTAAATTCTATAAAAAGCAAACGAAGTTTGAAAATCATGAGATTTGTCAAGATCTCATTATATGATACGTGGAGGCGGTGGTAAAAATTTGAGAAGTTTTCACACAATCTGTCACGTACGATATTTATAAACCGAAGTATCTCAGAAGAAGAAACGTAGCGTTGAGAAAGATTCGGTAAGATTTGGAGTCAAAGTGACGGTCGAATTGGGGTTTGACTTCAAAACTTTTTGTATAGACAATAGAGAACATAGATTGATTCATGTGTAATTTTGGTAATTTTTTGGATCCGTTTGATAATTTTAATTTATTAAGTGCAATTATAGAATTTTAATTGATATAAATTGAATTTGAGCTATAACTTCATGAAATAATAAGTCTTTTTTTCTCTTCTGACCTTGAAACTTTTTCTACTGTCCACATACAACATGTGATACTCCATGTTAAGATTTGGTATATTTCTGGATCTGTTTGCTATATTTAATTAATTTATTATATTTTTAGGAATTTTTGTATAAGTCAAATTTGAACCGCAAGTGATTCGAGGTGACGACCTCGCCGAGTGGGTACGAGGTGACGACCATGACCTCATGGTCGTCGAAGTAGCGCAGGAGCTTCCGGGTCGCCATCAGCACGGTGTACAGAAGCTTCTGAACCTAGGGGTAGCAAATTTTGGCATCGGTGAGTACCTCACCGACGAAGTACACCGGTCGTTGGACCTTCAGGGGGTGTCCTGGCTCCTCCCTCTCAACGACGAGGGCGGCGCTCACAACGTGGTTGCTTGCCACGATGTAGAGGAGGAGGAATTCTCCCTGTTCGGGAGCGACGGGGATTGGGGCTGACGTTAGTGATGCTTTGAAGCTGTCCAAAGCCTGCTGTGCCTCCTTTGTCCAGACGAATGCGTCTGTCTTTTTGAGAAGTTTGTAGTGAGGCATCCCCCGTTCACCTAGTCGGGAGATGAACCGGCTCAGGGCGGCCAAATAGCATGTAAGCCTTTGTACACCCTTGACGTTGCGTATAGGGCCCATGTTGGAGATGGCCATGATTTTTTTGGGTTGGCTTCGATGCCGCACTCGAACACGATGTATCCGAGCAGCTTCCCCTTCGAAACTCCGAAAACACATTTTTCGGGATTCAATTTGACGCTGAACCTTCGAAGGTTCACGAATGTGGCGGCCAAGTTTATGATCAGGTCGCTAGCTTGAGCTGTTTTCACCACTATGTCATCTACATAGACGGTGATTGTTGGTTTTGGCCGCTCAACTTTGTCAGGTTGGTCGGGCGAGTCGATTTGGTCGGTGAAGCATCGCTGCATGCACCGTTGATTGGTGGCACCAGCGTTCTTTAGATCGAAAGGCATGGTTACGTAATAGTATGAACCATACGAGGTGATGAATGAAGTCGTGACCTGGTCGGACTCTTTCATCACGATCTGGTGGTGGCCTGAGTAGACATCTAGGAAGGAGAGAATTTTACACTCTGGGGTGGAGTCGACTATCTGATCTATGCATGGTAAAGAGAAGTGGTCCTTTGGGCATGCCATGTTGACGCCAGTATAGTCAACACACATTTTCCATTTCCCATTCTTCTTTTTCACAAGAACAGGATTACCTGGCCAGTCGGAGTGGTATACCTCTTTGACAAATCCGGCTATCAGAAGTTTGGCGATCTCCTCGCCTATGGCCCTACGCCTCTCGTGGTCAAAGCAACACAGGCGTTGCTTGACAGGCTTTGAGCCCGGGACGACGTGTAGTGCATGCTCGCTGACCTCCCTCGGTATGCCCAGCATGTCAGAAGGCTTCCACGCGAAGACATCGCGATTTGCGCATAGGAAGTCGGCGAGCTCGCTTTCCTATTTGGCTGGGAGCTTGGTCTCGATCCGCACCTTCTTGGTTGGGTGGCTGGGGTCGATCTCCACCGCCTTGGTTTCCTCGTTCGGATGGAAGTTGCTTGAGGAGGTCTGCCCATTGCGATCAGGGACTGCTGGAGTCACCGAATTCTCGAGCTTCGGGAGCTCGGTGGAGTTGATGACGGCAGTGGCGAGCTCATAATGCTCGCGGTCGCATGTGTAGGTGTGTGAGAAGGTGTTACCTACGGTGATGATGCTGTTCGGCCCCGGCATCTTCAGCTTGAGGTAGGTGTAGTTGGGGATCGCCATGGACTTGGCGTACCATGGCCGCCCCAAGATGGCGTGGTAGGACCCTAGAAAGTCCACTACCTCGAAGGTTAGGACCTCTGAGTGGGAGTTGGCATGGTCGCCAAACGTGACAGGTAGGTCAATCTGCCCGAGTGGGTATGCCTGCGTCCCCGGGATCACGCCATGGAAGGGAGAGCTCACTGGGCGGAGCTCCGACCGGGGGATGTGCATGGCGTCTAGGGTGTCGACGTAGAGAATGTTGAGGCCGCTGCCTCCATCCATCAGCACCTTAGTGAGGCTCTTCTTGCGGATGATGGGGTCGACGATGAGCAGGTAACGACCCGGTCAGGCGACGTGGGAAGGATGGTCTCTCTGATCAAAAGTGATCGGGGAGTCCGACCAGCTAAGAAAAGAGGGGATGGCCGACTCAGTGGCACATGCCTCTCTATAGCGTACCTTGTGCTGGCGCTTGGAGTGGATGGCGTCGGATCCCCCAAAGATCATGAGGCATTCCTCGGGGTTGGGGAAGTCATCTTCATTCTTGCCCACCGCGCCTCCTTTCTTGGTCGTCTCCTCCTTGCCTTTCCCTTCCTTTGGCTTGGCGGCTTACCGCAGGAAGCGCTTGAGGAGCTCGCAGTCTTTTGTAGAGGTGTTTGACGGGATAGGCATGGTAGGTACATGGACTCTCCATGAGCTTATCGAAGTGGTCGGGCTGACCCTACTGGGGCTGCTTGCCCGTGCGGTCGGCCATGGCGACCAAAGCTGGGTTGGCTGGTTGGTGCCGATCCTTCTTATTCTTCTTGCCCTTTTGTGTGAAGGGGCACTCGCCTTGGTCCTCGCGCTTGGCCTTGCCCCTGTCACGACTGCCACTGAAGACCACCACGACTGCCTCCTCGCTAGAGGCGTGGTTCGTGGCGATGTCGAGCCAGTCACGGGTGGTACGGGTCTTCACACAACTGAGCTTGTGGATCAGGGACTTGTAGGTTGTCCCAGAGAGGAACGCGTTGACGATGTCCGCGTCGACGACATCAAGAAGGGAGTGGCACTGCTTTGAGAACATGCGGATGTAATCCCGCATGGGACTCATTAGGCTCCTGCTGGCAGCTCTTGAGGTCCCAGGAATTCTCAGGACGGACATACGCCCCCTAAAAATTTTCGACGAAGACCCTCTTAGATCCGCCCAGTCGCGGATGCTGTCGGGCAGAAGGAATTCGAGCCATGCTCGAACATGCTCCCCCACGCAGATAAGGAGGTACTGGATGATGAAGTAGTCATCATCCACTCCTCTGGCCCAGCAAAGACTGCCGCGGCACCGTCAGCTACACGTGGGCCTTGTTGCCGGCTCCTTCGACTGGGGACGATTCGTGGGCCTGCTGAAGCCAGTGTTTACTAGGCTTTTGGGTCAACTAGACACAAGTTTACTGGAATCCATTGTAGGTCCATTAATGCTGTTATTTTTCACGAAAAAGTTCGTTTGACCTCGGAACCTTAGATTATATTGTGCTAATCCGATTTACTTCTCTCAATGAAAAAATAGAATTTTAGACTCTTCTAACTTTTGAAACCGTCCAATTCATTCAAAACCATTTTGAAAACCGCCCAGGAGATAAATCGGACGTTCAGTTATAAGAGTCTAAAAAAATCCAGTTTTAAATTGTATGAGGTAAATGGGAATCATGCAATAGTCGATAGAGGTTAAATAATTTTTTTTTCTATTTTTTCCATCAAGCCAAGGAAAGATATTTATGCTTGGTCATTTATTAGTGGCGGATATGGATGCTGAACGTGTGGAAGCGACGAAAGGACACTGGTACGATCCACCATGTCTCCCTCTCGTTGACGCACACACTTGCAACGTGTGCCTTGGCGCTAACGTACGTTTATATCGTAACTCAGCAGTGTTCAAATTCAAAGCTCCATACACGTGCAAAGGCACAGGCAGCCAACTGACCGAAGCGGCGCCCGCCTAGCTATTCATACCAAGCCGACGGCGATAATAGCTCAACTCCCATATGGCCATATGATATGATTTGGTTCATTTTATGAACGGCGCTTAGTATGTGTTTGGTTCTGAGATGGACGAATAGAGGATGATGGAATGAATTGATCCTATTTTTAAGATGTTTGAGGACTGTTAGGGACGGGACCATTTTTGAGTGGAATATACCCCATATTTGGCCGTTTTTTTGTGTGCAAATTTGGCCCTTTTTTTTGTTAAAATTCACGTTTACACCACTGGACGACGTAAATTTAACTTTGGATCATTTTCTCAACGCCATGCCCTACGTCGCCGAGCCCTACGTCGCCGAGGTAACACGTCTCGGCACCATGAGATTGAAGGCTACAAATTACGTGGCTGTGGACGTGACGCTGATGTGACCAAAGCTCATGGCCACATTCTACCGAATAAACAAAAAATATCTCAACCAAACGCAGAACAGATTTGTCCACCCTAAAAAATTAGGGACAAGACCGTTCCGTCCTACCATGTCTCAAATCAAGCACACGCTGAGGCGAGTACGAGCGGTGGTCAACGGGGGTAGAAGCAGAGGACCACTCTCTGCCAGCAGCGCAAACTCGAAGGCAGATTTTATTCAAAGCGACGAACTGGGAAACAATACAAGAAAGTGCAGGAAGCAAAAAAGGAAATGAACACGCCCGGCAGCGAAACGCAGACTGACATCGACTGTCTCCAAAGCATTAATTAATTAAGGAAAAACGCCCAGAACCCTCCTGCGGCCGTGGCGACGGCCAAGAGCCAGACCACCGCGGCCACGGCCGGCGGCATGAGCGGTGCTACCCTCGAGGTGAACATGGCCGTGAGCATCGTGGTGAGCGCCCACACCGCGGCTTTCACCTTGGCATCCCTGCCCCGGCCGCCGCCCCGCTCAAAGTCACGGAGGCAGAGGAAGAGCAGCACGAGCGCTGCGTCCGCGCCGAGCACGAACGCCACGGAGCCGGCGTCACCCCAGGAGTTGTAGATGGCGAGCGCCGAGTTGAAGGTCAGGGCTCCCAAGCCGAGCTTGGTCAGGGTGGAATATCCTCGGTCGGCCATGTGAAATCGAACGATCTTCCGAGTGCGTTACAAAGGATAAATAGGCCCATGGCCACTAGCAACATGGAGATGCGTTCTGCATGTGCGGCTGAGATTGAAAGCTCCTAAATGCTAGCCTCTACTATTGCTTGCCCCACGTGACACGGGAATAGAGACTTTTTTTTTATTGTGCTCATAGGAGTAGGATGATGACACTCAGCCTGTTCGTTTGGCTGGTTCGTTTCGTTGCTGGTTTATGAAGAAGTACTGCTGGCTAGTTTATGTGAGAGAAAAATACTGTTCCGACTGAAAATTTACGATCGTTTACGATAAGCCACAACCAAACGAACAGGCTGACTATTCTTTAGGTGGCTATCCGTGGACAACGAAGTGTTTGTGATGATTTCATCAGCCTAAAAAATTGCAGGCTTTGTGTGTTTAGAGATGGTTACAGGAGTAGTGTATGAAAATGTAGAGATAATAAGTGTATATGCAACTACGTGAGTATTTGTGTGTATTGTGATTTGATTAAAATAAAGGGTTTCGGCCTGTGAGCTTGCTTAGCTTTTAGGGCAGCAAGGTCGTCGAGCCGGCGGGCTCTCGTGGGGGTGTGTGAAACTTGCAAGCTAAGGAACGTCGTAGCTTTTTTTCCAATTAAAGAAGAGGAGTATCTTTTTTTTTAGTAAAAGAAAAGGACAAAGGGGAAAATGGTAAAGAACGTTAATGGTTCAGTCGGGCCACTGGGTCCCAATTTTTTACAATTTAGCTATTTTTTTGAAGAAAATTTACGTTTGGCCCTAGGAAAAGTAAACTCATCTTTGATCCTGGGGTCGGCGCAAGGACTCATAACGCCGAGTTAACATGTCTCGACACCACAGATCTTGACGCCAAGATGGCTGGCCGAGATCTTAGGTGGCGTTGACGTGGCCGATACGGCGATACCTCGGCGCCATACCAAGATCCGCCTCGGCGCCACGACTCTGGCGCCGAGGTCGAAATGAAAGCAGCTGTCCGTCGCACATAAAGACGGCAGCAAAAGCAGCTCCCGTGTTTCCCGGTCTTGACCCCGCGCGGCGGACCTGGGCGACGGGCGGGGTGCGTGTGCGTCGTGTGCGTGGGCGTGCATGGGCCGCCCCGCGCCGCCCGTGTCAGTGGGACGCGTCAAGGCGCAAGCAAACAACGCAGCGCCGGAGCAGCGTGGGTGGATGGATGACTGGATGAGACAGAGGCGCCTGACCCGCCATCAACCTGCGCGCACCTAAACTGCCATTTATTGCCTGCCTGCCGCTCTCTCTCCTCGCTTCTCCTTCTCTACTAGGCCTTGTTTAGATTGCAAATTTTTGTAATCTGGACACTGTAGCACGTTTCATTTGTATTTGACAAACTTTATCTGATCATGGACTAACTAGGCTCAAAAGATTCGTCTCGTGATTTACAACCAAACTGTGCAATTAGTTATTTTTTTATCTACATTTAATGCTCTATGCATACGTCCAAAAATTGATGTGATGGAAAAAATAAAAAAACTTAGAACTTTGAGGCCATCTAAACAAGGCCCAGTATCTCTATCTCCTTTCCGCGCCGCGAGAGACAGGCACCACAACAACACGGCAGCGCGCGGCCGCTATGGGCTGTTGTGGCTCAGTAGCTGCTGCTGATAGTTTGTCACTTTGTGCACGCAGTGTGAAAAGTTAAAAAGCTTAGGCCTGGTTTAGATTGGGGTTAGGAATCAGTATTTAGTACTGTAGCACTTTCGTTTTTCTTTGACAATTATTGTTTAATCATAGCCTAACTAGGCTCAAAAAATTCGTCTCGTATTTTACAATCAAACTGTGTAATTAGTTATTTTTTTTATCTACATTTAATACTTCATGTATGTGTCCAAAGATTTGATGTGATTGAGAGAGAGTGAAAAAACTTGCAATCTAAACAAGGCCTTAAAGTTATTCCTGTGACAACCCGGTTGATGTTCATGCAAATGCCCTACTAATTAGTAATTACTGCTACTTAGGAGTAATATTTGGAGAAAATATATATTTGAGGCCATGTATATAGTACGTCATGAAGAGTGATACGTAGAGTAGTTACCCGGCAATGAGCACGCTAAGCAGGATGGTTGCGCCCACGGCCAGCCCTGCCAGCTCCCCGATCCGCAGATACACAGTCGATCAATAGCATGAAAGAGAAAATCCAGTGCAAAATCGTTGTTTACCACCATCCAATCCATCGGCACGGTCTGCTGCTGCTCCGGCGCTGCGTTGTTTGCTTGCGCCTTGACGCGTCCCACCGACACGGGCGGCGCGGGGCGGCCCATGCACGCCCACGCACACGACGCCCACGCACCCCGCCCGCCGCCCTGGTCCGCCGCGCGGGGTCGGAAACACGGGAGCTGCTTTTGCTGCCGTCTTTACGTGCGACGGACAGCTGCTTTCATTCAATGCATGCGCCGCAGAGATCTCGACGTCATAGATCTTGACGTCGACCTTGACACCATGTATTATGGCGCTGAGGTATCGGCCACGTCAACATCACCTAGGATCTCGGTCAGGTACCTCGGCACCGAGACGTATTACCTCGGCGCCATGAGTCCTGGCGCCGATCTCCAGGGTCCAAAGATAAGTTTACTTCTCCTGCGGAGCCAAACGTAATTTTTTTTAAAAAAAGGCTAAATTGTAAAAAATCAGGCCACTGGGTCCAGTCTCCAGCGAGATTATTTACAACAGCAATGGGTCACGAAAGCCATTTCAGTATGTTCGTGAGCGCGTGGACCACGAAAGCTCCCCGTGATGACTACACGCGCGATGCAGCAGACAGGCGTCCCGCCCCGCAACGCCAACCCAGCACCATGATTTCAGACAGGGCGTCGCGGAAGCCGGAAGCACCGCGGTTTCGTGGTCAGCCTTCCGCCAGTCGCCACGGCAACACCGTCCATGTGTCCCAGCCGTGGAGCGGACTGCGGAAATAGATGGCCAATGGGCCGGCCCGGCCCGGCCTGTCGAGCCCTTTTTCTGGTCGGGCCGGTCTAAAAAGCCCGAGCGTCTTAGTAGGTCGTGCCGGCCCAGCAGCTCGACAAGAGATGAACGGAGGCGGCAGCGTCACCTCCAGGCGGGGCGCGGGTGGCGAAGGGGCGGCGGCGCGCGGCACGCCGATGACGCATGACGCCATGGCGCCGCGGATCTGGCTGTAGGGCGGAGCTAATGCTGGCAGGGAAGAAGGGCGCGGCCCATGGGGAAAGAAGAAGAAGGTAGCGAGCACCTGCAGGTTACGTGGTAGAGCGGCGGCGGTGCTCTACGAGTCGGAGCGGATGGGGAGCGCGGGGCCACGAGCGGGAGGGCCGAGAGGGAGACTTGTGACTTGCGGGATTCACGAGCGCGAGCGAGAGCCGAGAGGGAGAGTGCGGCGGGGTGAGGAGGGGAGGGGGAAATGAGTTAGGACTTAGGGTTGGGGAGCGGTGGGCTCTTAGCAGACTGCGGAGGTGACTGGGCCACCACCGGGCCTGTCTAAATGTTGTGTCGGACCGGGCCACCTAGCGTGCGGCCAGGCACGACCCTATACACCGGGCTGGGCCTGTGCTAGGCCAAGATGTTGTGCTTTGGGCCGGGCTGTCGTGCCTCGACTGCATAAACATCTATGACTGTGGATACAGAGCTGTGAACACCGACGCCGCCAACGACGCTGATGGAAGCTGCGTGTCGACAGCGTCGTCGGCATGCACGAGGCAGACACGATTCCATTGGAAAATCAGCTGGGCCTTCATGCTTCATATCGTGGCACCTTTGTACCAGTAGCTGACGCGCGGGTGTCGCTGTTCTTTAGACGTACCGTACGTACGAGACGGTAAAAAGAAGGCACTACGGCAATTACCGTTTAAAGGATGGGATGGACAGACGGGCACCTTATTACTTCATCGTAATGGAAAGCAGCGCATATATAATAAATCACTTAATACAGCCTTTTCAAACAATCTATCTTCTGCATACAACATGGTATACATACAAACTGCAAACTAGAAACTGCCGAACAAATTCTCCTGCGCATGCACCCACAAGATCTCTCCACGGACGCATGCATCAAGGATTCAGTTCAGGAAGAACGCCCAAAAGCCGCCGGCGGCCGTGGCGACGGCCATCGCCCAGACAATCGCGGCGACGACCGGTGGCATCAGCGGCGCCACCCTTGACGCGAACATGGCCGAGAGCAGCGTCGTCAGCGTCCACACCGCGGCTCTGGTCCTGATATCCCTGCCCCTGCCGCCCCGCTCCTGCTCCAACGCACGGAGGCAGAGGAAGAGCAGCACGAGGATGGCGTCCGCGGCGAGCACGAACGAGACGGAGCTCGCGTCGCCCCAGGAGTTGTAGATGGCGAGCACCGAGTTGAAGGTGAGGACGCCCAGGGCTAACTTGGTTAGTCCGGCATACTGCCGGTCCATGTTGGTGTACACGTGGTGGGGAGCGTGCGGAGATCGGAGACGGCGACGACGAACCGACGAGCGAGCATGGGGTCACCGGTCACGACTGCCGACTGGGCTGTGCTGGCTAAAGATGCCGAGGGCAGGCGTAGTGGTAGGAGTGTATATATAGCAGAGTGTCGGGTTGAGAAAGCGGACTCGGCAACTCATGAAAGGGTCGGATGGAGATACGGATAGTCTTTGGTTCTGATCCCCTAGTCCGACAGGAGACGCGGCACCACGCCGGCCACGTTTCGACTTTTAGAGGCTCTTCATTTAATTTGACTGCGCGTGAGGCGTGGCCAAACGACACTTTTCTTCCTCATCGGTGCCGGTCCGAGGATTTTATGTCGTCGCAACGGCCCCTCGACCACGTATAAAATCTTATAATATGTAGATACTAATTTTATTTATCAAATAAAAATAAATTCAATAACATATTTTTAATTTAATATGTCTGATAATTATCAATGAACAATGTAGATTAAACAATATATTTATAGATGTATGATAATTATAGAGGAACAATGTAGATTAAAAAACTAATATATTCGTTTTCTTTTCTCATCCATGACAAATGTTTCTTAGGTAACGTTTTAAAATTCTAATACTTAAATTAGAAGAAAAATATGACTATATGGGTACAAAGTATTAGAAGTTTGGAATACTATACAAATAATTAATTTAGATTAAAAATAAAAAGAAAAAAATATCTTGGGCCTAAACAACTGATCGGTGATCGTAATTCATAAGAAGCTCATAATCAAGGTGTCATCGTCGTGGAGCCATGCATGGTCACCGTCCTCATGCGTCGTGTCCGTGTCTCCGGTAGTCTAGCTCTTCGCGGCGGCGTGGCTCGCCAGCTCTGCGTGTGTAAGGCGCACGTCGCGAACTCACGATCAGAGTGTGCTGTGTGCACGTGACTCCTCGCCTCCTCTCTACCCGAGGGCCGTGAGGAAAGGAAACTAGGAAAGAAATGTCGATTTTGTCTTTTTAGACCGCTGGCCGGTTTTATGTCTCTCTTCTCATTAGTTTGCTAATGCCTAATGAACTATAGGACCTAGGGGTTTGTATACCTAGGCTTGGACCCCTCCTCCGCTTGAGCCCTCGGCCGTCGCCCGTCTCGTGCCCTACACCTAGGGCCGGCACTGTTCCTCGTTCAAAGTACCTTGCATTCTCCAGTTTCTCAAGTTGTCGTTCAAACCGTCCCCACATGACGATCGAGGCGCCAGGCTGGCAGCCCTTCTTATATACCCGGCATTTGTTGAGGTAGGTATATACGCCGGCCGATCCGAGGAGGGGGTACCCATCTCCATTTATAAGCTGGAATGACACGTTAACCAGCCTTTTGTTCGGTTAGCGGTCGGCGATTGGTCCATGCTACACATCAAAGCAGCCCACAGAATTATTGGGAGTAGCGCAATTTTACGTTACAATTATAAATACGAATACACATTTTCACATACGACTCGTGTTGGTTCTGGATGGCCTTGCCGGTAGGGATCAAAGAAGCCTTAGACGCCAAACGCCGGGCGTTCCTCTGGAACGGCTCCGACAAAACCTCTGGCGCCAAGTGTCTAGTGGCTTGGGAGAAAGTGTGCACCATGAAAGAAGATGGAGGGCTTGGCATCAGGAGGCTACACCATCCGAATGACTCCTCATGGGCAGCTTGGGCAAGGCAGCAAGTCCAAATAGTGGGGCTCCAGGGGGGGCATCGCCGGTGACCATTGGAGGCCTTGAGAAGTTGGACAGGGCAGCAACGGGAATAGCTAGGTGGTGGCGTGGATGGTCGAAGTCACACCGCGGCCTTGGTCTTGGTGTCCCTGCCTCTGCCGGTCTGCTCGAAGTCACGGAGGCAGAGGAAGAGGAGCCCGAGCGCGGTGTCCGCGAGCAGCACGAATCCCACGGAGCTGGCGTCGCCCCAGGAGTTGTAGACGGCGAGCGTCGAGTTGAAGGACAGGGCGCCCAAGCCCAGCTTTGTCAGCGTGGAATATCGTAGGATGACTCAGAATGACGTGCCGTGCCCTGCGGTGGGGGTGGCACTGCCGTAGGATGACAGCCATCCGAGCTTCTGACGTGCGTCGGGGATCGGAGAAGGAACGAAGCAGCATCCGGCCGGCACGGAGACAACAGCACTTGCCCTGCTCGATCAGCTGCGCCTGTGATTTCTGATTGGGTCAAAAATTGTGAGCTCTGAACTGATCATTCATCTTTTTCGAAAAGAAATTGTGAATGGATCCTTTTCCTTTGTCATGCACGTGCTCTGCTTTGCTTTCTCTGCTGAACATCACACGCGCGCATCTTTCCATCTTTCCACACGAACCGCGATTCACGACTGCGCACTGAGAACACAAAGTTATGCATAGTCAGTCACCATTGACGGACCATTATTGCTCCTTCGGTACGGGGTAGAGATCCCTGAAATCATGTACACGCAGGCGTGACGACGCATCCCAGCTCCCTCCCGGGTCGAAGAAGCCCCGGCCCGAGGACCCTCGACGCCGGCGGCCGCCACGGGCCACGGCTGCAGAACTGCGAGGAGCGAGCGCTTGTGGCCAGCCTCCCTCCGGCAATGGCGCTCGAACCCGCCCCTTCTTCAGCCTCCCGGCCCCTCCCTCAAAGCCGACGGCCAAATCGGATCGAGGTGCCATAGCGCGCACGGCAGTGCCCGGCGGAGCCGGCTTAGCAGATCTAGAGCAAGCGGGATGTGGCGGGCAGAGGACAGCGTGCTCGACGGCAGGCTCCCTCCATAGCGGGCTCGGCGTTTTATTTTTCTTTTACCGATTTTCGGAGGGGAACATTTTGTTGTTGATTAACATTGACATTTGCCTCTGAAAATTCTATTTTGGCCTCCTTCAAAAATTGTTTATGCGGCAGTGTCTTGCAGACGTTTCTGTGGTCTGGGAGGTACGGAGTAGGTGTGAAAGCGCTGGTCGGCGTCTCGACAGAGGTCCTCAAGGCAAGGCGTACCACTGGACAGGAGTATGTTCAGAGAGGTTCTGACTTCTGAAGACGTGTGCTCCCTAAAGTCCTGAATAGATTATGGATCGGATAAGCTCAGTATCCGGCCTTATTTGAGGCACGTCACGGATATGTTGGCACAAGTAGGTCATCCCCATCCCGTTACTGTCGATGATAGTCGATATGGCAGCAGCTGATTCACCTTCCACACCTTCTTTTAGGCCCCGTTTAGATGCGATTTTTTTAGCTTTTGGCTACTGTAGCAATTTCGTTTGTATTTGGTAAAAATTATCCAATTATGGACTATTTAGGCTTAAAAGATTCGTCTCGCCAATTACGGACAAACTGTACAATTAGTTATTTTTTTACCTACATTTAATGCTCCATGCATATGCCGCAAGATTTAATGTGACGGGAAATCTTGAAAATTTTTAGATTTTGGGTGAAATCTAAACATGGCCTTAGTCTTTATGCATCGCCGCCTCGTGGTACCTTCCTGCAGGTTCAGCGAATGTTGCTTTGACGCGTATGTAGACCTGGCAATGAATTTGGTCCTTCCGTCCATACGAACCGACCCCTGTGCGTGACGGCCAAGAAAAAAAGAAGCGACATGTGCAGTCAGGCGGAGCCCGCACCGGTCCTTTCTGCGGGACAGTGCATTGGAGCATGTGCAGCCACTCGTTCAGCGTGGGGTATACGCGGCACGGGGCAGCGCATGTGAGCTCGCGTGATCACTCGTTCGGCGTGGGGGCGCGGGGGAGAGAGGGACCGGCGGATAGAGTAGGAGCGCGGGGCCTGCATACTCTATGGCACCGAGCTCCGTATGTTTCATGCGTTTAGATTATGTTTTATGTGGATGTTACATATGTTGTAATGGCTATATACGTATGTTGTAAGTGTATGTTTCATCTGTTTTCGACGTATATTGCAAGTGTTTTATTTGGATGTAGCATATGTTTCAGTGGCTATATACATATGTTGTAAACGTCTATTCAAAATGTTTCATCTATTTCAGACGTATGTTGCAAGTGTTTTATCTGGATGTTGCATATGTTGCAGTTGCTATACATATATGTTGCAGACGTATATTGCAAATGTTTCGCCTATTTTCAGACGTATGTTGCAGGAGCGCTTCATGTTGCAACATTAGTAGGCACAGGAAGCGGGCGCATGCGGAATGGACTTAACTTGACGCGGCGTATGCATCTGTGATAGACTACCTATACTTATACATCGTACTTTGACAGAATGGCAGGTCTTGGTTTGATTGTTCAATTGCTTCAAATTAAAATGCGTATCTCTGACGCCCTGACATTAGGCGCGGCTAGTGTCGCCGTGCGTGGCGTGGCGGTGACCTGGGAGACTCAGGATGATATCAATTTGCTGGAGTACTTAATTAAATAATTTATGTGGGGATGTAATTGAGAGTTTCAGTGATGGAGATGACAGTGATCTGTATAATATAAGAGAATGGATGTGATTTCATAAAAGCTTAATATGTTGGCTTCGAAGTTATCATCTTATTAATCAGTGGATTCACTCGGAGTCATTAATTCGGCGCCCATAGGTCTCGACCATAGGATCGATCGAGTCAAGGTGACGAAGGCCGGCCGGCCCACGCCCACGTACGTGATTCGAGATGCATGTACGATGGATCCGCAATTTCCAGGGATGCATGTTGTAAGGAGATGTACTTCCAGATTCCACTAATAAGAGAATGGAAAAATTCCCAAAGCAACCTAACCCTGTTTTCTGGAATCTCTTCTTTGAATTAAAACGGCAAGCAGGATTAGGGTTCGAGATATACGTCGACAACGACTTGGAAGACGACTGTCGCTGTCGTACGTCTCGTGACCTGGCCTGTCGGCGGTCCAGGTCCAACAAGGCACATAAATCTCGAACTCGAAGGCCAGTTGTTATGTAGAGGAAACAACTGGCCCTGGATGATTATTCACCTCAATCCCTGACATGTAGGAGTACGTCATCTGACAGAGCACTGATATAAACGTATACCACCTCGGAAGTAGCGCTAACGATCATCGCGGCAGTCATGCGTACTAGTACGTCGTCAGCATGTTTACGTAGTGCATGCGCGTCGCGTGTGTATGGTAGTTAATTATTGCTACAGTAGTTGCTATGAAAAAAGGGCGGAAATTGCATGAGCGCGTTGTTGCGCTGCACTTGCATTATTAATTGCCCAGGAAGCGTGAGCACAAGCACAGAGAACTTTACCATATATGCTGAAGTTTCTTGTGATATCGACTCTCTTCTAGTTAGTACGGTCTTACTCTTCGACGTGCGCGCCAAGTTATATATGTTCAACTGCCGGGAACGACCTCCAGCACCTCCATCATATCATTCCAATTCGGAACATTCTTCCAATACAACAACTAAAAAGAATCAACAAAAGTAACTTTTTATATACTAGACTAGAGATATAAAAAGGGAAAATTAATAACCCGTTCTCCGGCCGGCCTGCTTGTTAATTAGGTAGTAATCTCCTCTATATACCTTAGCTTACTCCCTGTTAAGGCACAACGTATATCTCCCATTATTATCCTATATAATAAGCACGTACGCAGCCTGCTCCTCCATCGGGAACATTTGTTCCTTCATCGTACCTAGGATAGTAGCGTCGACATGGCGCCACTGATGGCCACAGCTCTAGGGTTCCTTCTCCTCGGGGCGGATCCAGCAGGTGGGGCGGGGCGAGGCGGGGGGGGCTCAAGCCCCCTACCCATCCCAAAACAGTGCAAATTACTGTAGAGCCTCTATGAATTTTTAGGCAAAGTTATATAGTGTAGGGGGACTGAGACTTAAGATCGAGCAGCAGTGTTGTTCAGCCCCCCCTAAAATATTTCCTGGATCCGCCGCTGCTTCTCCTCACAGCGAACTCGATACTCGCGATCCACAGGTCATGGGGAGACGCTGCCGCTATGGTCTTCGTCATCGCGTCGTACGCCAGCCTCGTCCTGCTCTTCTACTTCCTGCACCTCTTCAAGACCGCTCCGCCTGGCTCGCCGGCGGCCAGGGGCCGCGCCAAGATCGGCGTCTGGCTCACGGCGATGTTCTTGTGGAGGGTCTCCGTGCTTGTGCCTTGGCCCGTCGTCGGGGCTGGCGTCTGCTTCATGGGTGCTTCAACCGTTGCCGGCGGGTTTTATGCACTGTTCCTTATTCCTTCTTCGACTGAAAATTATTGATGTAACCACGCCAGAAGGATACGAGATCGTCTTGTACAAATTGTTTGATCTCGTCGACCGTATTTTTCCAATTGACATGTAAATATATTATTAGTTTCGTTTTTAAATCCAGTACTTGTATGTATGCATAGGAACATATTATTTTTATACCATGATATTTAATTTGCTGAAGATATTAAATATATATTCTCCATTTGATTTATGCGAAACTTCAAATCTTGCGGAACAGCAGTGGCCGTCCTCATCATCATTCATCAATTACGTAATTCACTACTATAGAATCGAGTTTGGAGACAGGCGGCTTGATTAACAGAGTCGGCGACAAAGTGTCCCTGTCTCCAAAAATATATAGCAATGTTTAGAGACGGTCAGCTGATTTACGGAGACACTCAGGAAATAACTGTCTCCAAAATGCATGCAACCCAATTCAGTATCAGAATTAAGGTCGGAGTGCAAATAGTCCGACCTAGCATTACGTACATATAACCGAATATAAAGAAACTGGTGGAGGTTGTAGAGCTATGTCCGGTGAGCGCTTTCTTCGTCGGATCGACGCAATTAATGGGAGCAAAGGAGCTATGGAAGGCAAAGGCGCCGGGGAAATCAAATTCTTCTTCTGGCTTTGCCTGCATAAGCGCATCCGGACTGTGGAGCTAGCGGCGACGACGACATGGACTGCAGGATGGTTATGCATGCACTTTCTGCGACCAGCATGCGGAGAAAATCAGCCATTTGCTGCTGGGCTGTCCGCTCAGCACTCAGCAGGCAGGTCTGGTTTCTGATCCTGGGATCCTTCGGGCTCGTGAACATGATGCCTAATCCTGAAGACGAAATACTGGAATGGGGGTTGCTTCAGAGGTCAAGGGTCGGCGAAATGCTCAGCTCGGCTTTTGATTCGATGATGCTGTTGGTCGCTTGGTCACTTTGGAAGGAACGGAACGCAAGAATCTTCAGGAACACGGTCCGGACACCAGACACCAGCTCAGATTAGCAGCTTGATTCTTGAGGAGTTTGACGAGTGGCTTCTAGCGGGCTACGTAAAGCTGTTTTGCTTGCACAGCGGTCGCAAAATAATCTGGCCGTATAGTACTTTATAGTATGTTGGGCGTGATTAGTGTGCGACTGTTCCTGCTTGTGTGTCGCTAGCTGGAGAAGTTCGCTCACTATCTGTAAAACTCAATGAAATACTGGCAAGATGCCTGTTTGAGAAAAAAAAAAAAAACTGTTGTCCCCTTGCATCTGTTCCTGCTTGACGTCTACGATCTAGCCTCCATGTTTACGGAATGTTTTGTTTCTTATTAAATTTTGGGCGGTCCCGATGACGACGTGGATGGTGGTGCTATATATCCGAATAGAATCCTGCGTCTGATAACCACCGAAATCAACAACCTGACGTAAGTAGTCTCCATCTTCAGGTGGTCTTCAGGCTCGTCACCAAAGTTCAGAAATGCTTGCCAACACGACATGCAATCTGCTAGGCTTACGTTACACCGATACACAGCGCGGATGGTGTCAACCTGTTGCTGTCGCAGTCGGATAGGAGAATTGTCATGAAATTTTCCTCAACGTTTCGCAAAAAAAAAAAAAGTTAGTGCGCCATGACGATCCTCGTCGTTCCAACTAAGTTCTTGTTTGGATATGCATGTATTCATCTCAATCCACATGTGTTGAAGTGGATTAGAGTGAAATTAAACTAAATTTCATTCCATTCCACTCCAACACACGTGGATTGAGGTGTATACACATGTATCAAACATGCCTAACTCACCAACTCGAGGCGAGTCGCCACGTACAGCTTGCTCTCTAAGGTACTCTGTAGAAAATATGATTATTTTATATATATAAAAAAACTGGGCCCAACGTACACGTACTGAATGACTGTTCATTCGTTGGATATCTTGCTCCCTACGATACGGTCCCTTCTGTTCGAAGACAGGGACTCCGCGGCGTTGACTCGATCGTAAGAAACACGTCTAGTATATACTGTATATTGGTAATATACTACTACACAGTATTGACATATATATGTTCCTAGCTACATCGACCGCGGCATGTCACTGCTTGCAGAAACACAACGTAACACATACGCAGACAGGATCATGGCGTCATGGTGGCCAACATTCCTAGGATTCGTCCTGCTGACATGCAACTCGGCCATCGCAATCCACAGGGCAGGCGGGCACGCCGCCACGATACTCTTCGTCGGCGCGACGTACGCCACCCTCGTCCTCCTCCTGCACTGCCTGCGCCGGTTCGAGACGGCACCGCCAGGCTCGGCGGCCAGGGACCGCGGCAGAGCCGGCGTCTGGCTCACGACCACGCTGCTGACGGCCATGTTCTCGTGGAGGGTCTCCGCGCTGATGCCGCCGCCCCTCGCGGCTGCCGTGTGGCTGACAGGGTGTTCCATGGTGATGGGGGGCTTCTATGTCTTGTTCCTTCTTCCCACTCCCAGGCCAGCCATTACTGACGATTGATATATGACAGGTTATCCAAATTGCATGTGCGTATATATGTTTGTAGGGGTGTGCTTTGTTGGAACCGAGCTCCCAGGATCGAGCTCGGCGACGGCGCGACACCGGCAGGTGGCGTTCGCGGCGACTAAAACCCTAGAGCGTGAACCGAGAAGATGGAAATAATGACAACGAGATCAATTTGCCCAAACACGGCGTAACCATGCCTTATGTTTTCGTTCAGTTTATATAGGCCCAAGGCCTTGCCCCCCGTCGCTACGACGTCTCCTCTGATCGCCCGTTATTTCCGGAACGCCAGAGGGACATGCACGGACGACGCCGCGACGGGGCCACACACCAGTACACGGTCTCGGCGTGGTTCACGCACATCTCTGAACCACCTAGGATTCTACGTGTCTAACTGAACTAAAATAGCAAACGTTCTAAAAACAGGATTACATGAAGTAAAACAAAGCACTTCTAACATTTCACCCCCTTAATCCTGTTTCACTGGAACGACTCCGAGCTTCAGTCTGAACTCCACGAACTTGACCCTTCCGAGAGGCTTCGTCAGAATATCAGCAACCTGCTCATCTGTACCCACATGTTCAACATCAACCAGATTCTTCTCAATGCAGTCTCTGATGTAGTGATACCGAGTATCTATGTGCTTGCTTCTTTCATGGAAAACAGGATTTCTTGCTAGCTCGATTGCTGACTGATTATCGATCAGAAGTCTGAACTTCTGCGCTTCACCACCAATCAGGTCTGCTATCAGACGACTTAGCCAAACACCCTGACAGGCTCCCAAATCTGCAGCTATATATTCTGCTTCACATGATGATAAAGCTACCACCTTCTGCTTTTGAGATGCCCAAGTCACCAGGTTGGAGCCAAGATAGAAAATGATCCCAGAAGTACTTTTCCTGTGCACTAGATCACTTGAACAGTCACTATCAGTGAAACCCAACAAACTGAGACCCATCTTTCCTCCCTTCATGAACTTGCAGCCATAGTCAAGTGTCCCAGCTATATACCTGACAATTCTCTTGACCACAGACCAATGTTCTTTTCCTGGTGCATCCATGAATCTACTAGCAATACCCACTGCATATGCCAGATCAGGTCGAGTATTGACTAGGTACCTGAGACTCCCAATCACACTCCTGTATCTGGTAACATCTAACTCAGTACCTGGTTTAGCTGTAGTGAGTTTGATTCTCTGCTCCATTGGTGTATCCACTGGATTGCATCTTGTCAGATTACATATCTCCACAATTTTGGCAGCATAGGCTTTCTGACAAATAGTGATCTGATGCTTCTCCTGTCTGACCTCCATGCCCAGATAGTAGCTAAGTAACCCAAGATCACTCATGTTGAAGATTTTCTTCATCTGATCCTTGAATTGCTTGATCTTCTGATAATTTGGTCCACAAATTATGAGATCATCAACATAAACACCAATGAGTAATAAATCATCTCCAGTTCCTCTTTTATAAACAGCATGTTCAACTATGCTTTTCTGAAACCCCACTGCTTTCAGCTCTTGGTCCAGTCTAGCATTCCATGCCCTGGGAGCTTGCTTGAGCCCATAAAGAGCTTTGTTCAGTTTCAGCACTTTACCAGCATGAGCTGCATCAGCAAAACCTGGTGGTTGGTGTACATACACTTGTTCTTGGAGATCTCCATTGAGAAAAGCAGACTTCACATCCATATGATGTAACTCCCAGTCTCCATGTGCTGCAAGTGCTAATAGAATTCTCACTGTTTCTAATCTTGCAACTGGTGCAAACACCTCATCATAATCCACCCCTTGCTTCTGTGCATACCCTTTGGCGACAAGCCTAGCTTTGTGCTTGACAACATTCCCAGCAGCATCTTTCTTTACTTTAAATACCCACTTCAGTCCAATAGCCCTGTGCCCCTTGGGCAAGTCTGATAGAGACCAAGTATTATTGTCTCTTATTGACTGAAGTTCTGATTCCATTGCATTTTTCCAGCAAGTTTCTTCTAGAGCTTCTTCTACACTGGCAGGCTCGTCTGCTCCTAGAAGACACACTCCACTATACTCAACATTTTCAATTTCTTCAGTGTCATCATATAACTCTGATAATGATCTGTACCTTAGTGGATTGCCTTCTGAATCGGCCGACTGACCATTAGGTGGTGTTACCCACTGATTTTGGTCACCATGCCCAACAGACCCAGTGTATGATGGTGTATGTGGGCTTGAGAGTCCTTGAGACTCATCTGATGAAGATTGGGACTGACCTTGCCCAGAGGAACTGACAGCCGAACTGTCTGGTACTGAAACTGTGGGTGCTTGCTCTGTTGTCGGACCACCAACAGTAACCGGATACTCCACAACAAAATGTTCAGACTGGAATTGATCCATCCCTTGAATGTTCCAATCCCATGACTGACTTTCTTCAAAAATAATATCCCTACTGATGTGTAATGTCCTAGACACAGGATCAAGCATCCTGTACCCCTTTGTGCCCTCCTCATAGCCAATGAAAATCATTTTCTGGGATCTATCTGACAGTTTAC